CAGTCTCCTCCACTAATCAGTTCATAAAACATGAGACGTAAATAAACATACACACATTCCAGTATTTACGTGCTTAATTAGTTCCTATATTGATCAGATTATTTCATTATTTCAGGTCAGGTCAGCCCGACTGAATCATCGATCCATTATAGATGGATTATTTTAAAATGCATTTCAAAGTAGCTATTTTTGTACAGACAGCAAATCCACTATCTACTACAGAAAACATCTATTTTTTAGTGTTCCCTAAAGATTTTGACCTCAGTGGAAATTAATTAACCCACCTAAACAAAAGCAAAAATCACAATGTGTCTTTGAGAGACGGACACTGACTGACCTCAGTGACCACTGACCATGCCAAACAACGCCATTCTGTCAGATGTCAGCGGTGCTGATAGCAAATGATCACAGCTCTGCTGCAGCGGTTATGATATTTGGCACAAACTCATATCAGAATGATGCAAGAGACAAAGACTGATGGTACAGAATAGTGTACAAAAACCAAGACCAGTTCAAAGAACAGCACAGAGGGTTTGAGACGAGTACCAGAGAATCAACACTGACCTCTAGTGTCACCATGTGTGATATCACACAAACCCTTCCCAACAGGATGAACTGAAGGGAACAAAATAAGCCCATCTGTGAGCCTGCAGCACAAAAGCAGTGTTAAGTCGCTGGGGGATATTTGTAGCAATAGCCAACAATACATTGTATGGGTCAAAATTATACATTTCTCTTTTATGCCAAAAATCAATAGGATATTAAGTAAAGATCATGTTCAATGAAGATATTTAGTAAATCTCCTACTGTAAATATATCAAAACTTAATGTTTGATTAGTAATATGCATTGCTAAGAACTTCATTTGGACAACTTTAAAGATGATTTTCTCAATATTTAGATTTTTTTGCACCCTCAGATTCCAGATTTTCAAATATTGTCCGATCCTAACAAACCATACATCAATGGAAATATTATTTATTCAGTTTTCAGATTATGTATAAACCTCAATTTTAAAAAATTGCCCCTTATGACTGGTTTTGTGGTCCAGGGTCACATATGATCTCTAAATCTAAAGGCCTAGAGAGAAGTCGATGAGATTGAGCAACAGGGGTGCAACTACACATCTGCCGAGGGGTATGCAAGATCAGTGTCAGCACCCTCTGTATTCTAGTAGCCCCTATAACACTAACTCCTGCAAGTCAGTGACCAAAAGCCCATTCACTAGCTTGTGCATGGAAGGATACAAGCTCATCAGGAGTGAAAAAAAAGCGGAAAAATGGGGGAGGAGGGGGGAGTGTGTCACATAACATCTCCTGATGGCGGACCGCAGACGGTAGAGAAGACTTTTTTTTATTCATTTTTATATTCAAACACATGTAATATTGCTCATTTTTAGATAGGTAATTTGAATACACACACACACACACACACACATATATTCATTTGCCTCAAAGTTATTCATATTTTTGCACATTTTTATATAAAATGAGAACACTGTAAGTAAATTTACATTTTAACTTATAGCGATAATTCATGGGAAACTGGCCATGCTAAACTGAAGATTTCTGCCAAGATTTCACCTGGTAGAAAAACAAATACTATTAAAATGAATGTCACGATTCCCACTATGACCACTAGATGGCAGCAGAGGATCCTTTATAGTCTCATTTACCATTTCCACTCTGTAATATAGTTCTTTTCACGTGTTTTACTAATGGATTTATATTTAGATATTATAAAATCACAATTATAGCGTTTAAAAAACTCCTTTTTGTCAAAATTCAGCATTGTTTTGTATTGAAATATGAAGTAGCAAGAGTTTTCAACAAATCGGATCTACTTGAATCACACAGATGGCTTATTTTGAATTCAAAATGGCAATTTTCAGCGAAAGGTGGCTAATTTGTATCCTTGTTTACACTCTTCTCAGTTTCTCTCAAATGTAAATCAAATGCACATTCACAAACATTTTTATTTATGGTGGTTTATTAATTTTTTTTAGCAACAGAGATACTCAGAAATTAACTGATATTTGCACAGTGGCACATAAATCTTCATTATTTCAATATAGAAACGTATTTGACTATACTGGACTGTTTTAGTGCCTAAAACACAACTGAATATTAATATGTTCATAATTGTAATTTGTAATTAGCTTGGTTCTGGGTCTCAAAACCCCCAAAAGCTTGTTCTCCATCATTGCACAGGTTTACTCATGGATGAGACATGCAGATAACTACATAGTTTACTCAACCTTCACTGAATTTGATATAATCAGTGAACTCTGGGAAGAAAAAAAAACAGTCAATGTTTAACACTTTATCAGTTGTCAAAATGAATTCATTAACCTACATCGAGCTCCGTACAAAGGAAAATAAAAAAAGTTTGAATCCACATCTGCAATAATGTGAAAAAGGCCAGAAATCAACAGCACATACATGCCAGAATGTAAAATGAGTTCTTTTGTGCATTTAAATATCATTTCATTTTCACACTTTACAAATGAACGAAAAATCAGCGCTTATTTTCTAGTACAACTGCACTGTGCTCACATTTAGCCTACTTGTGCATTAAATTACAAATCAAAAATGCACCCTATTTTGATCTCGAATTGCAGAATATTTCAGTACATGCATTTGAGAGACGTTCTTAAATGTGATGCAAGTATGCATGTATGAGGAGTTTTGCAGCTTTAATCACAATTTTGGTAATTTCATGACTTAACTGACGATGTATGCTTGTAATAGTTTCTTGTGCGCCTCCTATGCGCGTACAGTTGAAGAGCACTGCATATACTGCATACCCCGTTTTTGCACCACTGTTTAGCAATGCCTAAAAGTCAAAATATCGGCGATTCCCAACCAACCTACATTACTTTTTAATTAAAAATAATTTACAAAAAGAAATAGCTTATTTAGAATATGGAAATATTGTGTCCTTTACCTTCTGATCACACTGCAAAAAAAAAAGTTTGTCTTGTTTTCCAGTGCGAATGTCTAAAGATTCTGAAATCAAGATGCATTTACTCGGTCTTGCTTTTTTTGTGAAAGTGAGTTTATGATTAAAACAAGAACAAATATCTGCCAATGGGCTCATAAAGCTTAATTAAAAGGAAAAAACAAGTTTTCATGCCCCATTTACAGATGTTCTTGTTTTATGCACAAACTAATTTTGTTCATTTTCTCAGAAAACAAGACTTTTTATCTTTTGCATCATTTTGCATGATGCAAATGTATTTAGATTTAAGGGTGTTTAGATATTTGCATTGGAAAACAAGACAAAAATACTGAGGAAGATTGCAATGCATATCTAATGTCATGACTTTATGAATATAACACTTTATAAACACTTTTAAAGCCTTCGTTTGTCAAAACCTTTTCAGTGTTTGTTCATGTTAGTTTACAATGCATTAACTGATGTTAACAAATACAATGCTTCATTTTTTAAACGTAAACGCACATACTGTACATACGCATTAACACATTATTTAAAGCCTTTATGTAGAATGCATTATAAAAGTAGTTTTAATGCATTAATTATGCCTTGTAATGCACCTTATAATGCATTGTACAATCTCATGAATAATTGTAGCCACAGTTAATACATTACATAACACTTATCAATTCATTACACTATAAATTTAAATTTGGTTATGATTATGACAAGATATCACATATTGCAATGCACATTAAGAATAATTATAATGCATTACAGCCTTTAATAACCCTTTTTCAATGCATTATACATTAAGGCTTTGAGTAAAGTGTTACCGTAAAAAAGAGCACAAAGAGAGGAAAGAGTGTGGAGCGAAAGGGCCACTTGCTTAGGTTTACTATTTGTAATTCCATTAGATGGCACTAATAGAGCAGAAACTGCTTAATCCATCTTAAACTATGCACCAAGTGTCACATGTCCTGAAAACTGAAGCCAAAACTTTTTGATCGCCCTCTCCATGTAAACGAATGTTACGTGAGCCAAACTAAAAATTAAATGACATGTTTTTCCCCCAAAGATGGTTTCCGTCATTTCTGGTAGTTACATCACGCTAATGCACGTTCAAGTGTTCACTTTTCTAATAAGTTCACTAATTTTCTAATAATAACACGACTCCACCAATCACTACGCAGACTCCAGATGATGTCATCGAGAAGACAGACGGCTTCTTGTTTTGGCTTCACGTTTCTATTGTCCAGCTTTGTTTTTACAGTCTATGCTATGCACCAATTTGCATGAACATTGCATAAAGTCAGATTCAAAATTCATGCTTGATTTTTTGACATATTAGAGTTGAAGATGGATTTTAGATATCTACTGTATTTTTATCACTCCTCACATCAGGCACTCCATAAAGTTTTAGGAATAAAGTGTTATATACAGTACTGTGCAAAAGTTTTAGGCCACTAGTATTTTCAGCAGCTAAACAATGGTTTTAAGTCAGTTAAAAATGCTGTAAAATGAGGATGCTGTCAAAAATAATGTCATAAATAGATTTTCTTTATCAATGAACTTCTATTAACTAAATTAAATCAACATTTCGTGTGAGCATGCTTTGCGTTTAAAGCAGCTTTTGCCCTCAGTGCACTTTCTCAGGAAGCTTTGCAGGAGGTTTCTTGAAGCGTCTTGGAGATGCTGTTCTCAAATGCTCATTCAGTACGGTGGTATATTTCCCAGTACTATGGCATTACTATCTGATAGCATTACTGTACCACAGTAACAAAGCAGAAACCTAGATGTGCTCTAGAGCAGTGCTTCTGAACTGACTTTACTTCAGGATCAGAGCAAACATGAGAAATGATGTGTGGAGAAGAGCAGATGTGATCTAAACAAACACAGGTGAATATTGTATATGAGAAGTGTTTTTCTCCTCGTTCAAAGGCTGTTCACTCAGTTACGTCCATGACCCGTCAGTCCAGAAGCACTGGGTCACACATTACTGAAGCACAGTGACATCTTCTTCAGTGCAAACGATCTGTGAGAGCATGCTGATGGTTTACTCACTGAAGCTGACGCTCTTCTCTCGGTGGTAGTATCCATCTGCGCTCTTTTTCTTCAGCATGGAGCACAGGTCCACTCTACACACGCATTCGTCTCCAAACACACGGACCTCGAACTCAGAGAAAAGCACCAGATCCAGCTTCTTAACGCCCTGTGAAGACACACACACACACACACATGTCACACAGTAAGTCCAGAGCAAACAGAAGGACGGGTGAGGGAAGATAGAGTACAGTAGGGGTGGAAGCGTCTGTCGAGGCAGATAACCTCAGCAGGAAGTGTGTCCTGTGGCAAGATTATAGACGCGCCTCCTATCTGTGTCCTCCACATGAAGAAGAAGCATCCACACACACACACTCACACACACACACACACACACACACACACACACACACACACACACACTCACACTCACACTTGGTCATCTATCCTTATGGGGACTCTCCATAGGCGTAATGGTTTTTATACTGTACAAACCGTATATTCTATTGCCCTACACCAACCCTACCCCTAAACCTACCCCTTACAGGAGACTTTCTGCATTTTTAGATTTTCAAAAAACTGAATTCTGTATGATTTATAAGCTTTTGTACCCGTGGGGACCACAATTTAGGTCCCCACCGTGACACGAGTCCCCATGAGTCTGTGTGTATTCAGGTTTAAGTCCCCACCAGGATATATAAACACACACACACACACACACACACACACACACAGGTCTCAGCCCTCACTGTCTGAACAGATAGCATCAACCTCAACACCTGACTCATGCAACAACATCACAACCACTTCTGCTCAACAACACTATGTATTTGATGAAAAAAAGTAATACAATTTCAAATGGCTGTTTTCTATGTGAATCTCTGTTAAACTGTAATGTATTTCTGTGATGCGCAGCTGTATTTTCAGCATCATTACTCCAGTCTTCAGTGTCACATGATCTTCAGAAATCAGTATAATATGCTGATCTGCTGCTCAAGAAACATTTTTATTATTATCAATGTTGAAAACAGTTGTACAGCCCAATATTTTTGTTAGAAACTGATTTTTTTTGTTTGATGAATAGACCGTTCAAAAGAATAGCATTTATTTGTAACAGAAATATTTTGTAAATGCATTTACTGTCACTTTTGATCAATTTAATGCATCCTTGATAAATAAAAGTATTAATTTATTTCATTACCAATTAAAATTCGGAATGATAGTATATTTAATCAATAGATGTCATGCACATTCTCACTTATCAAAGCTGATTTTTATGCACACACGGAATTATGCACACACCCTGTGACTGTAAAAATAAATGAATGAACTCATTCAGTCTATTTATCAACACACCATACTATTTGAAGAAAGAATAGTATTAGATAGATTATCACAAATAAATAATTATCTACTGATCATTGTTGTTGTGTTGTGGTAAAAATGTGTGCAGCTTTAATGCTTCGGATCTCATTCAGAAGAAACAGTGAAGAATCTGAACTCTGTTTATGTGAAAAGGAAAGAGTAAGATGTCAAACTTAAGCTTAATTTCCATAATGCAACTGACAGACTCTGTAGTATTTACTTATGATTAGATAAATAAAACACATCCTCCTTCTTCAGCACACACACACACACACACACACACACGAGTCCTCCTCACCTGCTTGCGTAGATTAGGTGCTTGAGAGAGTTTGAAAAACGTCAGATGAGGTTTGAATGCTTTGTCACCTCCAGACGCGATGCTCCGCTCCTCAAACGCCTTCCTCACGCTCTCTGGGTGGAGAGAAACAACACTCAGCCTCAGAGAGACAGATGCATCCTGGGATAGTCTATTTACAGCCTCCGCGGACAGGCCCGAGACTACTCCACTGTCCTGAATGTAAGACAAGACCGTAATCAATACAGAGAGAGAGAGAGAGAGAGAGAGAGAGAGAGAGAGAGATAGCAGCCCGATCTCTCAGGATCTCTCTGCGTCTGGACCTTCAACACGTTTCTCTGGGGTTTTCAGTGAGCATCCGAAATACTGTGCTCATGTAATTATCAGCCAGTATTAGTTCCTCTTACTGTCATGTCAATCTGATTAAGCCAATACTGGAATACTGGAAATCTGAATTCAGTTTGATTCATTTGATTTATTTTGGTAAATGATGATTATGTTATGAAAGCTGCAGACAGCGGTAACAATCAAACACATTCACAGCCAGTGTTGGGGGTAACACGTTACAAATAACACGTGTTACATAATCAGATGACCTTTTCAAGTAACTAGTAAAGTAAGGCATTACTTTTAAAATTTCAATGAGATATCTGAGTTACTTTTTCAAATAAATAGGCCTAATGCAAGTGTCAGAGGCATTTCCTTCAGCCTGAGGCAGTTTTGTTGTGAAAGGGCCTTTGCAGTTGCCCAAAATATAATGTTTGTGTTTTTTGTTATTAAAAAAATGAATAAGCAAGCCCAGCCCACGTGACAAAAAGAAACTCAAAAATAATGTATTGCATTACTTTTTATAAAAAGTAACTAAGTAATGCAATTAGTTACTTTTTATGGAGTAATGCAATACTGTAATTCATTACTTTTAAAAGTAACTTTCCCTGATCACAGCAGGGTAGGGTTGCACCAGCCATTCAGAAGTGAACGTGCTTAAATTGGAATGTAAAGTCCACACTAGAGGCTTGGAAACTACTAGTTAGTTTGCACTTAATGTAGTTGCACCATCAGTTCTTAAGGCAGAGCATCTCTAGCAGGTCACACGCTCTCTGTGAAGTAATGCACAGTCACATTATATGCTAGGAATTGTTTTCCTGCAAAGTTTAATACCAACTTCTTTAGTCTCGCATAAGTAAATGTAACTAACTGTAAACTAACAGTAAATGTCCATTGAAATACAATACTGACATGCAGAAACTGTCTTTGAAATGAAAAAGGAGCAATATAAATATTGATACAAAAACATTTGACATGCACAACATGGAGCGGTGCACACTGTAATGTTCTCGCCCTTAAAATATAAATGAGTGTAAACAACAACATCATCATATGTCTAAAGGATGTCTAAAGGACAAGAGCTTACTGAAGCAATTCAATCAACCTGCTATTTTATTCTAACCATTACCCCCAGTCAGGTGCTTCCGCAAATATTTAATTTATGTATATATATATATATATATATATAAAGTTACATTTCAACTAGGTTTAATGGTGCAATGCAAAAATATTTAGTAGTGAATCCTTTATAACATTCACCCTGCCTTTTTACATGCTAGGTTGTAAGCTACACACAGTGCTCTGGATAAAAGCAATGCATGTGCAGATCCACTTCCAGAACAGAGCGAGTGAGCTGCTGCAGCAGTCACAGATGTGACAAACATACCAGTGTACAGGAGGAGGCTGACCATTTCACACATGAATGACTTCATATGCAGCTGCGGCATAAAGTCATGATGAATCATTATGAAGATGCATTTAAAATTATTCTCAGGGTTTGACCACGATGCCTTGGGTGTCTACACAAATACCCCCATATGTGTAATGCAATATTACTGTAATCATAAACAAATATGAAATCAATGCATCTGAATTTTCATTCTTCACAAAGGAAGATGTTTTGAAGAAAGCAGTTTTAAACTCTACTGGCTTTCACTGTTAGGACAAAAAACACTTTTTGTGCTCCACTAAAGTTCTGGAATGACATGAAGGTGAGTAAAGGATGACAGAATTGTCATTTTTGAATTAAAAATCCATTTAAACTGTATTGCATGCATTTGTATATTTGTAGCATATCTGCATCATCAGCCACAATATTGCATAAATAATTAGCTATAAATGGTAAACTACACCTGTGATTTTTTTCCTCGAGCAATGTTGTGAGATTGGGGCGGGACTATCAGTCTGACTGACCAATGGCAGACTGGCACATCTGAAGCATGAACACCGAGCGGATGCAGAGTGGTGTACCTTCCATGAGCATGAGCGTGGTCAGATGCTCTCCGTCCACGATCTGAACGAAAGCCACTTCCTTTTTAAAGTGTCCGACTCCACAGAAGGGCAGGACCCCCAGCAGTGCGTTCAGAGGAGACTCCAGCTCTTATCACGTAGATGCAGTGCTGCACACACAAACACGCCAAACATCCTGACAGTCCAGTCCTGCACGCTTCTGCTGTCAGTCTTGCTCTTCCACTTCATTACAGATAATGAGAGCAAAGGCATGTCATAATTACTGCTGAGGTGTGATGTGTGCTCTTGGCCTTTAAAGACGATAAAGCAGCTTAGATTTGGATGATTTGTTGCTTTACGGAGCAGCTGACAGTGTCGGGGTAACACATTACAAGTAACTTGAGTTACGTAATCAGATTACTTTTTTCAAGTAACTAGTAAAGTAGCGCATTACTTTTTAATTTACAAGAGAATATCTGAATAACTTTTTCAAATAAGTAACGCAAGTTACTCTTTTTTTTTCAATTTATTGATACAAATACAGTAGTCCCCATGCGGAGAGAAATCAGATGTTACTGTAGCTCTGAAATAAATATGAATATGCATTAATGCATCTCACTCACAAAACAAAACACAGATTCAGTATTCCTCAAAATGAATCAAAATAATGCAACTCAGAATATGACGCAAACCTGCAATAATTAAATGTTGAACAACACAAATATGCTTTATGTATTTAATCCCGTTCTATTAGCTTCTGAGCTTCTGATGATGCAGTTCAAGCGTACTAATAATCACACATTACTCTCGACAACATCTGTGTGTGTTTGTTTATTGCTGAAGTGTTGAAATGTCTTCTTCTGCGTTCTACTGTACTTTCTCTTCAGCCTGAGGCGCATTCATTTCACTTCTGATGAGAAAGGCTTTTATATTTGCCCAAAATATAACTTTTTTATTTTAAAAACAAACAAGCAAGCCCTGTCCAGATTTAAATAGTAACGCAAAAGTAACGTAACGCATTACTTTCCATAAAAAGTAACTAAGTAATGTAATTAGTTACTTTTTTATGTAGTAACGCAATATTGTATTTGTTTTAAAAGTAACTTTCCCCGACACTGGCAGCTGATGTGTTTTAACTGTGTGTTTTGTTCAAGATCAGAATTTTATGTAATTCGAGAACAAAGACTGACCCCACAAAACAGAGTAAAAATATTGCTATTATAATAATACTACTATTATAAACTTTCTTACTGAACTTAACTGAATCAACATTGAAGTGACTCAAGCTGAAATTAAGCAATATTTGCCCCTGGACTTGATTTCAGGGGCATTTTTTTAACCTTGTTAGGGCAATTTTTATAATTACACTATTAAATGTTTCTGTTGTTTATTTATGTCAAAAACTTCAATCAATCACAATGCTAAGCCACTGTTTCTGCAAAGACAGAGCAGAAGACAAAAACTGCATAATGGAAATAGCCTATCAATTAAAAACAGCAACTAATTAGAGTGTGAAGCTGCAATATCACGATTGTCAATTATTGCTCTTGATATTGTAATAATGATTATTAATGTCGATTAAAAGTAAGTTTTGTGGGGAAAAGCACATGAGATTCTGCCTATAGACAAAACAAGCGAAGAACCATTTCTGAATTTGTATATTGCTTTTTACAGATTAGAAAATCAAGGCTTCACATTGCTTATTTCAGTGACATGACAAACAGAACAGTTATTTAAACTGGGATTAAATTAACGTGTGCGATCAACTATAATGTGCAACACTGCAAACCACATGTAACAATGAAGCAGATCTGCTGTAAATGTAATGTCGCAATCAACACGTTTGTTCATTTCCAGACCTGGCAACCTTGGAAATTATTTTTGAGTACCATCAGCATGACTGTTTACTGTTTTTTTCTTGTTTACTGTGTACAGTTTTACTTTTTTTTTACTGTTTACTGTTTTTTTTTACTGTTTACAGTTTTTTTCTTGTTTACTTTTTTTTACTGTTTTACTGTTTACTGTCTTACTGTTTTTTTACTGTTTACTGTTTACTGTTTTTACTGTTTACTGTTTTTACTGTTTTTTTTACTGTTTACTGTTTTTACTGTTTACTGTTTTTTTTACTGTTTACTGTTTTTACTGTTTTACTGTTTTTTTTACTGTTTACTGTTTTTACTGTTTTTTTTTTTACTGTTTACTGTTTTTACTGTTTACTGTTTTTTACTGTTTACTGTTTACTGTTTTACTGTTTTTTTTACTGTTTACAGTAAACAGTAGGGATGCAACAATACAGTTAGCTCACAGTTCAATAAATTCCTCTGTTTTTTTGTAAACCACAGTTTACGGTTTAGTTATTTTTTGCTAAGATAAGATATAGAACTCATATGGACAAAAGTATCCAGCTATCTCTGTAATTGAATGTCATTGTCATTGAATGATGACATTCAAAGAGAACATTAAGACACTGAACACTATACTGCGACAATGTTTATGTGTTGTTAAAACCACCTCATGTATTTTAATAATTATGTATATTTATCCATTGCTAATCGACAATGGATGGGATAAGAAGCCACATCAGATCAGGACGGAAGTTATTTCTAACATTCGTTTGATGTTGTGGGGTATGTTATAATGTTCTCTTTTTTTGGGGATAACAGGTTTAGAAACACTTCTCATTTGAAGTCATTACAGATGCTCGTTAAGCGGGGAGGCATTTCCTCACCTCAGCACGCAGACTCACAGACACACACAAACAGAGCCAGCTTGGAGAGAAATAAAACACGCTCTGATTGGTTGAACTCTTCATCTTTTTCTGTTGCTTGATTTGAATACTGCACATGGACAGAGGCATCACCAGGTTTTTGAGTAGTTTAGAGTGACAAATCGTACCAGTGTACCAGCCGCTACGCAAAATGAGTACAGGTCGGCAGGTCTGCATTTCCCTTTAATCGTGACGGCTGTAATAGATCTAACTTAACTGGGATAATAATAATAAGACATCAAAAGAATCATGTTCTAGTGCTCACATAGCACAGCTTCAGTTTAACAAAGAAAGAACAGAGTTAGTTTCTCTAGTTCCAGTGAAAGTGAACTGACTGAAAGCACTTCTTCTCTAGTCATTCCTTATGTACCTTGAGTGTTACTTCTTTACATTCTACATTTAGTAAAGAATGTCTTAACTGTTGTTTAAACAATGTTAAAGCTGACATAATAAACTGAATATGTCACTCACAAATGAAAACACACCTTGCGAGTCCATGACACAGATATTCAATAATTGGAGGAAAAAAAGCCCCAGCATGAGATTTTGCCTTATATTTCTGTATGATATACGTAGTTAAGCAACATTTTTCAGAGGAGAAAAATATGTCAAATGTGCTGTGACTTCCTCAGCCGTTGCATTAGAAACGCTGACTAGTTTTCTGTCGTTTAATGCCAATGCAATATAAAAAGTATTCTGTCATGAATGCACAGTACATTTTCAAAAAATGGAGAAAAACAATTATAATAAAAAACACTGCTAGATTTGATAACTGTGGAAAGGTGTCACAGTCTGTGAAAAGGTTTCATTTTCAGTGAATTAGTGAAACTGATCACGTGAGTCTGAAGAGACTAGAAACTGAAGCTCAAAATCAAGTCATGTCATCGGGTTCAGTTCACTCACAATTATGCTGCTGTTCAGCTGTTCATCTGAACTCCGATGCTGACATTATCATTTGTAGTGAAAACATTAGCATGTTCACTAGTCAGACTGTAAATCTAAGAATGTGAGCGCCATTGAGAAGCAAGCATTGACAAACGTGAAGAAGCCATTTTCTTTTGATTTCTTGGTGACGAATGAGTCTGACCTGGCACTTTCAAAAAAAAAGAAAAAAGATTCAAGATTCACTCTATGAAGAAGGCTTGGCTCATGAATATTAATGACATAATTTGACGTTTACCCAGCAGGACTGACTGAAAAGCAGGCAGATGCTGGTGAGTGTCGGTCATAATTATGGGTCATACTATAGTGAAGGCTTGGATTCATATGAATATCAGTATCAGTAATATGAATATCATGTTCAGGCAGATTAACAGGCAACATCAGCGAGACCAATGAATATTCATGAGCTAAGCCTTTGCCATAGCAGAAGCTGTATTATGTGTCATGAATTGATTTTGTTGTTCTTTGTATCCAGCGCTTCCTTCAATCCACACTGAGGCCTTTATTTCCAAACATAATTCAGTCAAAACCGTCAGCCTTGTCAAAACATGACACAGACACAGGAAAAGATTTGCCTCACAATCCAGTGCTTCTCATGCTATTAAATATATTTATTCTTCTTCTTTAACTCACCAACACTATGTTCAAAGAGACAAACAGACCCATACAGCAGTTTAACATATATTGCTCTATATCAAGAGTGATATTGCCATATATGTTACCTATAAGGCGATATATAAATTTCACAGATGTGCACATGCTCTGTGTAGATAAAGATATGCGTTTAGAACATATATGACATCCCCATAGTAAGATTTGTGTATGTACTTCTGTTAATAATATCTATATTATTTTTATTTAGTATTATATGTAGCAACTATGTTTACCGTACATGCTATTATCTATGCATCTTTATTAAAACCACATATATTCAAAAAAATCTGTATTTATTTGTAAAACATTTTTTTAAATACATGCCTTTTGTAGTTAATTACATAATGAACATGCCATACATGTCCAAAAATGTTTTTCACATAAACATACATATCTGTATGGCCTGGATATATATGTAAATATATGAAATTGTTCCAATGTAGAACAAAAGGTAAAAGGTTTCTTATGTCATGACAATATTCTTCAAAATGCACGTGCATTACATTTGTGTTTTGGGAACAACAAAACAGAACAAGCAGAAAAAGACAAAGCCAAACAGTTTTAGTTTTAGTTTTAGTTTAACACTAAAGAGATTTAGTCTTTGTTTGTTCTGACCTTGAACCCATTGAGTGATTCTTTTCACTTTCACGAAGGCTTTGGGAAGAAACGCACACATATTCTGATAAGGCAGCTATTGTTTGCAGTGCTGTAGAGTGGCTGTGTTCTGCTTCTCTCTCACACCCTCGTTTGTGTTGTGTAACTTTAGACCACTGCTTGGGTTTCAGGCCGCGGAGGGCGAGCACGACTAACAGGTGTACAGCAAGGACCGGTTCTCCGACCGTTTGCTCCCTGATGTTTACCTGAGAACTTTCGGCCTGGAGTTTGAGGTGAGCCAATCCTGAGCGCCGGGGCTTGTTTAACTGCTTCAGTTACACACTATTCTCTCGTATCAATGCACTGCTGGCTGTATAACAAAGCAAGAAAACCTTTCTTCTCTTCCAACAACAAAGCTCTGGTTCCACTAAATGCCGTTTTGTCAGAGTTGTGCAGAACAAACATTTAAATAATGACTCGACTCCCACCAAACACGCTAACCACATACTGTATGGCCTTTATTTTCATGCCTTCACAGCGCACCATGTTTTCAGTTCTGTGGAAATAACCAGGGTGCTCTCTGAAACATGATGATTTATCTCGATTTCCGCACCCTCGTTGCAATTCTGTGTACTTTTATTTTGTTCCTTGGAAAACAAAAGGAGAGTTTTTGAATAATCAGCTAATGTCCATGACTGATAGAATGTAAACAATCATTTTTTATTGTAAACAAAAGTCATGCAGTAACTCTGTGTGTTTAAGAAGCTGAGTTAAGTTTCTCCGTACTCGTGTTCCCTTTGTTTGTGTCCTTTTTTGGAGCTTGTCATTGTACTGGAAGAGCAGCCTGAACATTCTTCAAAATTTCTCTTTTTGTGTTTAATTGAAAAAAAAAGCCGTTGTTATGAATCACTGTCTGTCTATGCATTTTTATTTCATTTTTAAGTACTTTAGTTATTTTAGTACAAGTTAAACTAAATGAAAATGAAAATGTTTCTTTGGCTGAAAAGTTTTTTTTATATTTTATTTAATTTCAAGTAACAAAAATGTTTTGTAATGGTTTTCATTTTAGTTAACTATAATAACAGAGTATATAACCCATATATATATATATAAATGTTACCACATACTGTTTGTTGTAATATTAATAAATATAATACATAATATAAATAATAGTGCTGTCAAACAATTAATCGCGATTAATTGCATCTAAAATAAAAGTTTTTGTGTACATAATATGTGTGTGTGCTGTGTATATTTATTATGTATATATAAACCCACACACATGCATGCATATATTTCAGAAAAATGGGTTATGTTTAAATATTAAATATATTTATTTATAATATAAATTATATGAATATAAATATAGAATGTAAATATTTTCAAAATATATACTGTATGTGTGTGTATTTATGTATACATAATAAATATGCACAGAAAACTCATATATTATGCAAACGAATATTAATAATATTAAATAATCACTAACAATGAAGGAATTTGAATTAAAAATAGTGCTATAAAAGCTACTGTATGTGAATATACTGTATTTATAATGATACAAAAAAATATACATCAGCGTTATTTTAGAATCATAGAAATACTATTATAGTTTTTATTAATATTTAATTCATTTTTTTACTTTTCCATTTTAATTTTAGTTTTGTCATATATATATATATATATATATATATAAAACAGAATCACACACACACACACGTGTATATATACACAGTACAACATACTGTATGCCCTAATATTTATAGAATCATTTTCAAAACTATAGTACTCTTGTAATATTATTATTAACTGTTCTCCAGGTGTCAGTGGCGTAATGGCTGAAGGTGCATGTGTTTATGTGTGTGTCTAAGGCCAAACTTAGCATCAAGAGGCTTTGAGAGCATCAGAGTCACTGTATCCTCTCTCCATCACAAATCCCCTTTACGGTTAACTCTGTTCACAGGCATTGGTCAGCTGTCAGATCAACAACACGCTATTTATACCCTGCAGGTGTTAGCCCAGTTTGCTCCGAACCGTTAATTGTTGTGTGGTGAGCGTCAGAGTGGCTCCTCGTTCAGCCGTCAGGCTCAGGAGTGTGATTTTGCTGGATATCTGTGGGCCAGGTGGAGGACTGTGATAATGCTGTAGCTCTAATCCGTTCTGAAATCTGTGCAGTCATGCCCTGGGGTTTCAGCAGGAGCGTCAGCTCTCACTGGCAGAAGGAAAGGTTTTAAATGTGGAAGAAGAGCGCCCAGGCTGTTTCAGGCAGAGCTATCTCAGGACAATCGATTTCTTCCAGGTCACCAGAGTCATCTCAGCTGGACTGACTGCAGGAGATCTCCGGCACACAGGTACGCAGGTACACACGCTCTGCTCATGTGCTCCTGCTGCTGCTCTCGCTCTCTGCAAGGATGTAAATGTGCACAAAATATGAGTACGCCTGCCCTAAAACTCTCTTTTCTCTGTCTTTCCATAAACCACGCTAAATGCGGATGGATCATGACCGCATTCTCTTCTGGACATCTGTTCATCCTCCGGTGAGTGGCAAGTTTTGTTCTGACACACACTAGCAGTCTACAGTTCAGACACACTGAGTTTATGTTTCTCATTATCGTAAAACCTTCTGATCTGTGGCCTTCTTCCTAAATGCTTGAAATTAATTCTGTAGACAAATGCAATTGCGATTTTCTTTACAAAACTAACATTTTAGTGGTGAAGGAGAAGCATCATGAAGCTGGTGGATGCACAACGTTTTCATTTGAGTCATTGTTCCCAGACGTCCATCTGTGAGTCCAAGCTCTGGACTGCTGCTGTATGCATTCACTGAGATTTACGCCAAGTGCTGTTGTTATTGCTGTAAATATCAGAATGTAAAGTTGCATTGCTTGTGCAATATAAAATGTGTTTGAACAGGTTAAAGTCCGTGAGAACTGGAAGTTGCAGTGGCCTTTACTTCAGTACTGTGACGTGTTTCCATATGAAATGTAATATTGAATATAGAGGGTAGAGCTTGTTTTTTTTTTACTTGCATAGATTAATTGTTCACCACAAGACTAGTGATGTGCACTAACAGAGTAAATCTGGTTAATTTTGATTTTATGCTGACTTTCAATAAGATGTTCAGCACACAGCGATGTTAGATAACCTTTTTTTCATTAGTTGTTTTGGTTTGGGTAGTTTTGGAGGTTAACACACAGCACTGGTGCATTATGGGGCCTGTTTGTGGTCAGTGGTCATGTTCAGGTAATGTTTCTCATCTTTAACGCCTGGCATGATAGTCTTACAGGTCCTTCACTTCACTAAAGACTACAGCAAAGCGCTTTAGCAAAGAAAATCCTTAGTTTATAAAATATGATGGTTAATTTGATGATGGTTTCAGCTGTCGTTACACAGATTTCTTCAAATCTTTCACCAAAACCACTGCAGAAATGGCAAATATAGCCTGCGGCTTCCAAAAGGACATGCTTACGAAAATGCCAAAATGCCATAGTTATTAGCAGATGCTAAAACACACAGGGCTTTTATGAGTGGGCCCCGTTTGCCAGGACCTCGAGAGTAAGCTGGACTAAAGAGAAGCCTAATGAAAGTTCTCCTAATGATAACCCTGATCAGTACAGCCAGGGTTACGGACCTGGGATTCTCAGACGTGGACGTCGTCATAGTTGGTAAACTACTGTAGTGATGAATGCAGACTACAACGATATAACGCATACATTAGTTTGCGTTCTCATTTGCACCAATAGCAAAAGAAAAATCCATGATAGCATTTCAATGGCTTTCCAAAAGAGGAAAATGATTAGAAAGACTGATTACGTTAGTCAGAAGAGAGACAGATGTCAAATAACACTGCTGTTGTGCCACTCATACAGCAGTGTTAACTAGTTTTCTGTCATTTAATGCCAAGGTAAGAAAACACAAAGTATAGGGTTATGAATGGACATTCACTTTTTTAATGAAAATCTAAAAAAAACTTAGATTTACAGTGTTAATAACTGTAGAAACGCATCCTCACAGTCGGTGAAAATCCCCATTGCTATAAATATGCATGCTATTTAACATGGTATTTACACCATCGGCATTAAAGGAGTTAAACAGGATGACAGAATGGTTTAATCTATGCTTATTTTACAGTTACAATAAATGCATGGTAAATTCAAAACTGTGTAACAACTGTACAAATACAACAACAACAACAACAAAGAAGTTACTTCAGTGCTCAAGTGAATAACTTGACATTTGTTAGGCTGTTTTCTTGTTACCTAGTTGTGTTCTCGTGTGGCTTTGAACATGTCCACTAGCGCGCGCTGTTTCTCTTGAAGTCACCAGTCTTCGTTCCTTCTGTCCGCAGTTCTGTAGTCAACATCTTTATAATAAACTACTCTCAGAGCCCTCCAATAGAAGGCGAGAGTTCCGGACAGACAGCGACTCCCACCAATGACATCCCGAGCTCGATTTCCGCCGGCCAATCACTGACGCGGAGGCGGGCTCGTAGAGGAGAGGGCTCGCGCGTTTCACTACGTTGGCGCTTCTCCCGGAAAGCTTTCGGTGTGGGAATTTCAATCTTACATTTCTGAGGCTGTCGGAGGCTCTTTAACCGGACACCACATCCTCAACGTTTCGCCGAGCGCGTCCAGACTGGAAAAGGTACGGCGATTATGGCTGTTTTCAATCACATCAGCAGTGTGTGTGTGTATTTGCTGCGCGGAGCTGACTGAGGAGAACTTTATCACGAGCCGTTAGTCTGATGTCTCGTCTTTCAAAAGATACCGCCGACAGGTGCGATATTAATACCGGATTACGCTTCTTTCTGGCGGGCAGTGTTTGGGATGGTCACTCTGTGAAGCCGTGTCTCGAATGAATCGTGTAGCGATGATTTACAGCCTGTCGTGTGCTGTTTGGAAATGTTGACCGTTACAGTCCTCTGGCGCGGTGTGGTGTAAATGTGTGACACACGGACAGGTCTCAGTATCCTATACGGCGTCTTTACCTAACGATATAATCCCCAGTCGTGCTGTTTACACCGATCAGTGCTGTGTGTCCGCTTTAACAGCACTTTCCCCGCCTGAACTCGGCACTGATTCACTCATCTGGACGTGACGCTGCGTAACATCAGCGCATTTCAAGCGACTGGAGACCGTTAAAATCATCTGAACGTGTTTTGTTTGCCGTTAAAATCCAGTGGCACGTGGCTGGCGCGAGCTCCCAGCCCTCTGTGTGTGTGTGTGTGTGTGTGTGTGTGTGTGGTCAGCTTTACACGCCCCAGGACATCGCTGCGTGTCGTCCTTTGACGGGGTTTGGTCTGGTGTCGTTTTTAGCGCACAGAGGAAAGCGCAATAAACATGTGGATTTCGCAGCGCCATCTTCTGCGTTTCTCCGACGCCAGAGCTCCAGGCCAGATGTGCTCGTTTTACATCACGCACTGCGAGCGACGCGACGAAACTCCGCTTTATTCGCGTCGCTCGCACGCTTCACCGACAGCCTCAAAGCCTATTGTTGTTTTCTCCCTTTACTCTAAAAATGTAGTTGCTGCAAGCCTGATAGTAATAATTGTGTCATCATAGCATTGGAGATATTTTAAAACTCGCACAAATGTCCGAGTTGCGTTTCTGGTTATTTTATTCTCTGTTTAAAGCTGTAGTAGTTACAAACAATACGGATAGCAACTGCAGAATTTTGGCAGACACTATGGACAACTTGGCTTTTCTTTTTTTTTTGAAGGCCAGTCATAATTTCTTAGTTAGTTGACACTTTACCAAAGTGCTTGCACGGATAGTTCACCCAGAATTGAAAATGCTGTCATATTTCCTCACCCTCATGTTGTGTCAAACCTATGCATGTATTTCTGCTGAACACGCAAGATACATTTTGATGAATGTTAGGAACCAAACAACACCTTGTCCACACTGACTTATAAAACATATATTTTTCCATAGTTTGGACGGCTACCGTCAACTGTTTGGTTAACCCAGATTCTTCAAAATATCTTTTTATGTTTAACAGAAGAAAGAAACAACGTGAGGGTGAGTAAATGTACTTTTGGGTGAGCTATCCTCTTTAAGGCCAGTGATTTGGTCAGCCGAACCCTTTTGATCTAAAATATTTCCTTTAAGTCCCACTGAGATCTTAAGTTCTCTGTTGTTGCAGTGCAAATCATAATGCAGTGCAAGTTTGTGTTTCTGGATGCAGCACGGGATTTTAAGGGCGAATCCAGTGCAATGTCAAACAGAGACCGCATAGCACACAAAGTGATACAACAGATGCTCTTATCATACCGTACACGCAGTACTATATGAAACACAGTGCTGTCTTCTCGAAGTACATTTGATGGTGTGATGCAGAGTGTGTTTTTTCCTGTGTGAACCACACTGTTGTTGTAATGCTTCTTTCTAGTACTGTCTAATGCATGTATCGTGTTGTGAAGTAGGTTTATAAAGTAACAAATATTTGCATTTGTAAGTGTGGATCATGTGATGTGTGTACGTGCTAATATTTGACAAGAGTCAGCCACTAAAAGAGTCGGTGCACGGTTTCATTCCCATTCAACTGTGGTAGGATTTCAGGGCTTGTTTTGACAATGTGAAACAATACGTCATGTGAAACGCGGCGCCCCTCCCTGCTGCGGCCGCTTAAAGCCGTCGCCAGCGCTGCAGGGATTAGCGTGTGCTCGAGTGTCAGGTTTTTGGTGGAGTATGCATCTCTATTGGGTGAGCTGTGAAGGTCTCTGAGTCCACCGGAGTAGCTTTATCCCCAGACCATCTGTCAGATCCGTGCAGCGTCCCGATCAGTGCACAACACAAACAGACATCTTGTTTGCTGATCATCTTTACTTGTGTGTCACAAGTGCAGCATGATTTAAGTGTGAAAATCATTGCCCCTGTTTTTGTTTGTTAGCTTGTGTTTTGTAAGGGTCTTGTTTGACCCATGTGCGGTTGTTCACTGCATTGGGAAGTTGCTGCATGCTAGTCAATTTTGCTTTTGGTTTAATAGCAATCACAACCACAGTGCTAGGCTATATAATTGAAGTTAATTTCATTTGGTCTGCTTCAGGTTGTTGTTACCATTGCTTTGGGTTTTATACATTTTCTTTTGCTCGATAACCATCTGTGACGGATATGCTGCTTTGTTTGGGTCTCCCACATGTCACCCTGCAACACAAACCTATAGTTTCATCAGCGCATCACTAAAGCCGTTTTCATCCAAGCTGCAAATGTATGTGTAAAACATTTAGCATTTCTGTCCCATGAGTTTATTTCTTGATGGGAACAGATTTGGAGAAATGTATCATTCCATCACTTGCTCACCAGAGGAATGGGAGCTGTCAGAAATGCTGTTGAAGTGACTGTTTTAAACTTGCTATTGAGTCCATAATCCATAATAACACTTCCTCCGTTGAAAAAGTGCATCTCCTGTTGTCTCTCACATCAAAATCCAGCCACGTACTTGTTTGCTTGATCTGTGCAGATTTCTCTCCTGATTCAGACCAGAACACTTTCACTGGAGGAAGCGTTATTATGGATTATGGACTCTATGGTATTTGAGTTCAAAACGTCTTAACGCTGGATTAGTTTCAGCTTTTGTCTTCTCCAGATGTTCACTGATGGACTGGAGAGCTGTGGGTTATTGTGATGTTTTTATCAGCTGTTTGGACTCTCATTCTGACGGCACCCATTCACTGCAGAGCATCCATTGCTGAGACACTGATGCACTGCTGCATTTCTCCAAACCTGATGAAGAAACAATCTCATCTACATCTGGGATGATCAGAGGGTGTGGACATTTTCAGCAGATTTTCATTTTCGTGTAAACTATTCCTTTAAGATACAGATGTTTTCGGGAGTTGGCTTGAAATGGTCAGGTGACCGCAGCGAGGCATGGTTAGCAGTCAGTAGTTGGAGTTGTGGGTGTTTGTTGGCCGTGTGCTCTGGGTCTCTGGGGTGAGCTTCAGCAGGAGCGAGTTGTTTTCCTGACGGTCCCTGTGCAACTGCAGTCTCTGTGCGTTACAGCTGACATCATCCTTTGCCTAATCATTAACTCGATACGGTTCACCAAAGACAGATGCAGCGCTGCAGAGATACACGCCTGTTCATTCAGACACAAACATCATTAACTAGAGCCCTGTGATTCCTGCAACCTCAACTCAGTCACATTACCCAGTCATAAAACTGACATTTTCTGTGTAGTATGGACTGTCATAGAATTGTACACTTCATCAAATGGTGATATAAACTACTGTTAAAGCACTGCAGTGCAGTCTGCATGTTGTGTGTCTCAGTTTGCTCCACTGAACATAGTGAAACACTTGACGCTCGTCTGCTTCTCACTATATGAACACATGAACTTCAGAGTCACTTCAGCATTTCACCATTTCATTTGAAAAAAGTTTAATCAGAAACTCAAGGCTCTTCACTACAACCCACCAAAATAGGTTATCACACATTTTTTATATCAATGTTTTAATTGAAACTGCTGTATAAACCTCTGTTTTGCAGAGCGTGTAGCATAGCCTATATTTGAAATTAGAGGTCGACCGATGTATTGGTTTTGCCGATTAATCGGCACCGATAGTTGATTGCTGGATATGAATGAATGTATTGTGCATTTTCAGCCAAACGTTTGTCTTTCTGTGGCTCTAATAAAGTCTGTGTGCTTCATTTATAGAGCTATAATATAGGTCACACTTTCTCTTTCCGTTTGCTCCGTTTTTTAAACACCGAACTTCAAACTCATCCATGCCAAATTGTTCATTCTTGAAGTAAACTTGTGTCCGTTTGGTGATTAAATAAACTGTTCTAGACCGCTGCTCGAGTTGAACGCGACGCGTCCGGGGTGTGTGTGACACCGTGAGTTCTCCTAGACTCAGCGCTGCGCTTTTATTTTGATTAGATAATCATCAAGTGTTCAAGAATAGAAGAAGTTAAAGTGTGAGAGTATACAATATCCATATGTATATAATTTTAATGCCATAGCCTTTGTGTATATATTTAAAGATGTGCATCTGTAACCATGACTGTTGAAATGAAATGGTAACACTTTAAAATAAGAGTCCATTTGTAGCATTAAGATTAATGAAAGCTGTGTAAGTATTGTTCCTTGTTAGAGTGTGTTCATTTCAACATTTACTATTATTATAATTTTTTTTTACTACTAGTATGGTTCAGTACTGTTTTTGTTAATAAAGCACTATTTTAGTTTTTGTTCAGTATCAATTTTAAAACTATCGGTTAATTAATCTGTATCGGCCAGTGTGGTCCAACCTAGCTATCGGTATCGGCAAAATCCACTATCGGTCGACCTCTAATTGAAGTACTTAATCTATGAATCACACTGTCAAATCCCTCAATGAATTCCGCTTGCCGCACACTTGCCTCGCGTTATCATCATTTAATTGTGAATGACGTGATTGACATTTGCTGGGTTTGGCCAGCCTCTAAGCTAACGCCTACGTGTCTGTATTGAACATGATTATGCATCGCTCCAGTAGAGTTATTGTAAGACAATTTGACATTACACAGTTTACTCAAAACTTTTCCGTTTCCTTCTAATTCAAAATAATCCCACACCTTCTCGTCTTTCGCGTGGTCGTTTTTGAACTCGCCGCAACTGACACGAAGAAAACGCATGTGAGGTCTGAGGTAAAAATGTAGTTTCTGCCCAGATACACTTTTAAAAATAATGTATAATAATGTTTTATTTTAATTTGTTGTTTAAAATATTTTAAAAGGGTCATATGATGCGATTAGGAATCATTGGTTAAGATTTATTTTACAACAACAGCACAACCCAGATGTTCGAATTTGTGCAACAAATTTGTTCGAATTTGTGTGAATTTGTAAAATGTTTTTTGAACATTTTATGGACGACAGTTTTTTTTTAACCTAGAAGAGTACAAGGCTGGCTGTGCACAAAGGCTATTTCTAAAAAAAAAAAAAAAAAGAATCAGCGACTGTATATTCAATCAAAACAAATAATACAGTTTCATTGAGTTTATTCAATAAATACATTCAACATTTTTTTTTTTACAAATTTTTCCAAGAAGTATAATTTGTACAAAATCTAAAGATTGCCTTCACTTTTTTTTAGTCAGTTATCTTATCTTATTACAAGAAAAGTGTAAAAAAGCATACTAATAAAAAATAAAAGTATGGATATTAGGTAGGATTTACAAAATAGTCTTTTGTAATGAAAATGCATCAATTATTCAAAGCAAGACCAACATTGAAAGGAATGTAACATGTTCAGTACCGAAAAACAAATGTACTGCAACAGCCAACAGTACAACATTATTAGTAAAGGTCTGTAGCACCTGTATGAGGACATAGATCCCCAGCGTGGTGTTGCGCATTGAGGTTAGGGCTTCAACATGTTCAACATTCTAAAAATGCCAAAAAGAAACAATTACCAACAGATCAAGGGTCAAAGAAGTTGGTTTTGGAGAAACATACACTAGGTTTTAGTGAAAAAGGTAAATAACCTACTCCTTCACAGGGTTTGAGGGGTCTTCCTTCAGGCAGACAGCCAGGGCTTTCAGGAAGCATTCACATTTTTTGCCGATGGAGACATTCTGAATATGTAAAATGAACAGCATTAATTAGCACTTGACTTTTTAGACTTGTTACTGTACATCTAAGATTTTAAGTAGTATTATACACATCATCCCACTGTGCTGTTTCTACAAAACTCACATTTTCAATCCTGGGAATCAGTACAAGAAAACCCAACAAATGTTCCCAAATCAGAAACTTTGCTATGGGAAAGATACACAGTAATCTTGGATGTCAGAGTTGTTCCAGTTGTAGGTGCAAAAACACAACTCCTCTGCTGAGAAATTTGATAAAGCTACAAACAAGCCCTGACATTAAAACAGTATGAATTATGCACGTATGAACATTTTAGCTTATGCTATATATACTCCAGGCTTTAAAGGGATAATTCACCAAAAGACAATCATTATCAGTTGTTTTATCTTTTAGACTCCCTTACATAAAATGCTAAATTTGGTTAGTTTGTCTTGCTCATTTCTGATGATAAAATGACAGTCAAGAGTGAGTTTCTCTTTTGAAGCTTCAAAAGCATCAAACAATTACATGTTACATTTGAAGATTCAGAACAGGAATTCACCATTGACTTCTTTTATTGTGTACACAAGAAAAAAAAAAGAGCAGGACATATTGGCCAAAATGCATCATTTTAGTTCAGGCAAAAAAAATAAAAAAAATAAAAATATGTAAGAGGTTCAACGACATGAGGCTGAGTAAATGATGTAATGTAATAATGCAAATTTTCATCTTTGGGTGAAATATTATTTTATTGCCAGATTTAAAATGACAGTGAATTTAGATAACATACCTGAGCCATAACTGACAGGATGTTTGTGATCTTCTGTGCTGCTGCTGCTCCTGTCTTTGGTTTGAGAAATTATCAAGCAGTCCCATATATTTGGAGACCAAAGGGATTGTTGTAATCCAACTGGATTTCACCAATACCTAATACAGTTTTAAAAGGACAAATCAGGTTGGCTGCTGATAAATTTGGGACAAACCTTTAAATAATATTATACACCAACAATCATAGTATTCCTTTACCCGCACTTACAGATTACATACAAAATTATTACAAATGAACACAAATCTGAATTACATCTAAACTTCAATACATAATTTAGAATTACAAAAATATCCAAGTAATTAATCGCAGCTGACATTACAAAGACTTACCTCTTGCTCTATAAAGGGTGCTGGATTAGATCTGGATGTGTGAGAGGAACCACAATCTCTGCACAGCCACATGCAGGACTCTAAAACTCTGTGAGGTTGGAAAAAAAGGTGTGAGTCACCTAATAATAATAATAATATAAAACACTGCCAACTCCTAAACTTTAGTATGTGTTGAATGACCTAAGAAACAAGCTTATTTAAGTGTCTTCATGAAATCCCATACAAAACATGAGATTATGCGCGATTAACCATTCTAATAAAATGACAGCCTCAATATATATGCATAAAAAGTAAAATATCTCACCTGTGTTTTCGTCTGATTCAAAAATGGCGCCGATCGCTGAAGAGTGATCTTTGAATGTGCTGTGCATCTGCGCATGTGCAGATATTACTCCACCTGCTGACCAAAGTGCGGTACTGCAGAAGCAACTCCACTCCATTTCATTCACTTTACTTAAGTGAATTGTGTAAATTTGAAATTTTACTTTTTCTAATTTGGTCAACACAACTCTTTTAATTATAATACACAAACATAAGGGAATTATTTAATTTAAATGTAGTTACATTCTTTGGACCAACAGCAGCCACATTTCTTTTTTTTTTAGTGTAATTTGAATGATAAAAATCATGTTATCGTGTAATCGACTATTGTTTTCACTGTCGACTAGCAGGAGCTGTACCATTTAGTCGACTAGACCCGCACATCCCTATTAGACACCCATTTTAATGATTATACAATTTAAAAGGTCATAAAACCCCAGACTACTTTTTCTGAGATTTTAGCAGAGGTGTTTGTGTTGCACATCATAGAAGACAACGTTAGCATCCGTTAATTTTAATTGTTGGAGAAAACTGGTTAATTTTAAGCTTTTTTGTTCTATTTTCATCTTCCGGGTTTACAATCTACATCGTGTTGACGTCACAATTTGTGACGTGGCTAGGGCTGGGTATCGAGTTCGATACTTTTTAGGCACTGACCGAATTGCCTCGATACCATCGAGTATCGAAAAACGTAATTTTTTTCGACATTTCTCAGTAGCGAGGTTCGTGAAGGAGTTTAACTTAAAGATTCACTATTAGTAGACGCTGCTGCTGAGAGGCGCATAGACGCAGGTATTCACACGCACTTAATCTCTCTCTCTATCTCTTTCTAATAACCGCATTAGACTGCATTAATAACTGCGTAAGCCTGCATATCAATGGCTCAAGCCGCTGTTATCAGCTCTAAAATGACGTTTTGGAATTTGCAACGGAAGGTTTGGGATGAGGTGCGTAAAAAAATTAGTTCCAACCCACACGAGATTTCAGGACGGAAACATGTCAAATGTCTTGAAACAAATGATCTGAACAATGTCTTGATGTGTGGTTGGGACTCCAGGCCGTTAAAATTATTAGAGAAATAATGCACTCCCGGAGGTGGTTATGTGGCCACGACTATATGGTATGGTCTGTCTCAGTTCTCAAACTAATTAAGAACTATTTGATTTTTATTGACTGAACGCAAGCGCTTATTCCGATAGAAAACACTGTATCATGCTCATCAGTAAATCAGTGGAAAATACATATAAATCATGATTCTGTCTGAGCTATGCGTTTTAAAACGAACATGCACTAGTGTAAATGTAGCTAACAGATGTGTAAACTGAAGACTATTTGAGCTTTATTAAAACTATTTTGCACTGATTTATTGTGTTGGTTACATTTTGTTCCTTTGTGCAGTGGCTCAGGAGATGAGTCTTTGTGTCTGTATAAACATCAACAAGCTGAAAAATAAAACCAAAGTTTTTTTTTTAGATAATGTAATCTTGTTAAAATTGATTTCATAAAATTGGTATTGAAAAAAGTATCGTTCAGGAACCGGTATCAAAGTCAAGGTATCGGTATCGATATCGAAAAATTTGGAACGATACCCAGCCCTAGACGTTGCAAAGGACTAGAGTACATCGATGACGCGTCGGTGTCTATTAAATTATTCATGAGACTGCGTGGTCTTATCCTATGAGAAGACGCTTTGCTTAATTATTCACAACAGCATGTTTTGATTTGCTATGACAGACACTTCAGTCTGTGAGATCGCGTACATTAACTGAGAGAAACGTTCATGGATTGAAGAAGAGTGTTTGTTTTTGCTTTGTAATAAGAGTTCGGCACACATGTGATTCATTCATGAGTGTAACCGGTTTTACAGCTCCGTGACACAAGCCGTCAAAAGGTTTATATAAACGCCACAGAATAAGCCTTAAATGTTATCAGAGGTGCAACAGCGCATTCATATGTTTTCGATGCAGAGTGCAAATGGCTGTGCATTTATTTGTGTTTTTAGCTCGATGGGAGCGAAATGAAACTGTCTGAAACCAAAGTTGTCTGTCTTCCCCCTCCACTCCGCTGCGCACCATGCCCACTTTTTTTTTAGCATTTTTAAAACTGTAATGAGAACTAGCCAGTGCTGAAACGGGGTTTCATGACCCTTTAATTAAACCTCTAAAAAAAAGGAAATTTGTGTAAACACTAAGACTGATTATAAAGTGCCATAATAAACCATCATCTTTATAGCCTGACTTTTTAATAGCAGCTGTTGTTGGCCACTTTAAATGATCAAAGCCGTGCTTCCTCTCACACATCACTGCACTGAAGCGTTCTGCCGTTCTGGTTAATAAGGTGGGTGGAAATGGGGACAGGTCTGAGGGTGCGTTTCCTGTAGGAGCGCCTCTGACTGTGCCCTCCTAATTCTGGGGCATGCTGGGACAGCGATTGCTTAACCATTCGGAAGGGTTGTGGGAATATCTATGTGAGAGCTACTGGGCTTCAGAGACACCGGCGTTACATCATGCAGCTAGACTTCAGTCCACTTCAACTCTCAGCAAACCAGTGGATCTCATATGAAGCAAATGGTCTCTGTTTCTGAATTGGGTTATGGCAGTGTTTCCCCTAGGTTTAGGTCTTTTTTTCCGTTTGGATTTTTCTGGACTCCTTTTTAATGGTTAAATTAAATTTGAGTAATCAAAAACATGTCTAATTAATTACAATCATGTTAAATTGTTTAAGTTTCATCAATTTATCAAAAGTTTAACAAAAATGGCATGTTTAGGGCCCTATGAAATGTTTTATTTTTTCCAACCTTATGTTTTATTGAAACCAGATTCTGTGTTTTAACATGTCTAATTATTTGAAAGCATAAAAACGAGTTTAATTTATTCTTACAATAGCCTAATGAATTTTCCCCTCAGAAATTCTGTGTTGTGTATTTACATTTTTAACTACATTGATAACTTTCATCTTTTAATTAATGAAAGTTAAATATTGTATTTTTGGAAAATAAAGGGGATTTAATATTACAATTAAAACATTAAAGAAATATTGTATGATTATTCCTTAAAAATAAGGTTTTAATTTTAGTAGTAGCCTATTACGTTCTACTGAACAATAGTAATATATTTCTGCCAATGCCTTCAAGTTAAACAGACATTTTATTTTGACGGGTTGCCGTGAATACCTAGTTTTACTCAAATGAAACGGTCAAATGCTGATGAAGTGACTCTCAGAGCAGTTTTGGAGGTGTTGTTGTGTATTTATGTCCTCATATTAGTGAGACGGCAGACGCTAATATCACCGCGCGCTTTAGTACCAGTGGTATACAAAACCGCATGTCTGCGCCATTCATTAACACAGAGACACGCAGAATTCATATTTAAATACTCGTTTTGCGGCTTAATATTTGCAAATACTAGTGGGAGTGGGAGCATGCTCACTTGTGTGCGTGTGTGTCGGGCAGAACTCCGCTGTGTGTGATACAGAGAGCGCGAGCATGTAACGTAGAAACAAAAATTACATGCCGTCGTGTAAATAAGATAAATAACATAAGGCTATTTAGTTTGTTTAATAAAACAACAAGGTATAGACCTGTTCTATAGGAAAGGTAACTTTAAATGACTTCTGTTGTGATCTGGCGCTATAGAGAATACAGGACGGGGGGGTGCCATAATATAATAGCAGGTTAAACACTGGGTTATGGGCATCTACTGGTAAATGTAATTACTACAGCGTCCCGTAAACTAAAACGGGTTTGCTTGAGAGCTGATGAGCCGTCTGAATGACACTTCCAGCTCACTCAGCGACAGTAAGACCATACGAGAGCGGATCAGCTGTTCTTTCAGACTGATTAGAAGGAGAGCAGAGGAACGGCCCGGGGTTTGGCCTGTTCCCAAGCATAGTTAAAAACGGCTTATCCGCAGGACGCCAATTTAGAGAGCCAACCTTTCACCTGAAGCCCAAGAGAAGAAGTCATTTGGATAAAATGCGCTGCTCTTCAAATCACGGTGCTTGATAGCAGTTGAAAGAGCGGCTCGCTCGTGTCCTGTGCAGTGCTGATGGATTTGTCTTGTAAATCCTGTAGTGTGCAGGAGTGAGTCTCTAGGAGGAGCGTTAGCCATCTATAGGTGCAATTCCATTCTTACTAACCAGATGCTGAAAGTTAAGTACTTGTAATTAGAGTATAGACCATTACATTTTTAAATGCTCGTAATCAGATTTTTTATGGATTACATTATATGTTATGACAAAGAATGAAACATGAAAATATTTTGAGCTTTCAGTAACCACAGACCTTGTTTCAAATGTTTAACCAACACCCATCGACACTGGAACTGTAAGTGTTAAAATGCAACTTGCTTCTGGGTTTTGACCTACAAAAAGCCATCATTCTTGCAGCTCTCTCCAGAACATGTGTATTTATGTCCTCATATTAGTGAGACGGCAGACGCTAATATCACCGCGCGCTTTAGTACCAGTGGTATACAAAACCGCATGTCTGCGCCATTCATTAACACAGAGACACGCAGAATTCATATTTAAATACTCGTTTTGCGGCTTAATATTTGCAAATACTAGTGGGAGTGGGAGCATGCTCACTTGTGTGCGTGTGTGCGTGTGTGTCGGGCAGAACTCCGCTGTGTGTGATACAGAGAGCGCGAGCATGTAACGTAGAAACAAAAATTACATGCCGTCGTGCAAATAAGATAAATAACATAAGGCTATTTAGTTTGTTTAATAAAACAACAAGGTATAGACCTGTTCTATAGGAAAGGTAACTTTAAATGACTTCTGTTGTGATCTGGCGC